ACTTTATTCTCTTATTTTTCTATAACTATAATGATCATATAAAGATGTGCCTTTACCTCACTGGTTGGAGAAAAAGCTTCTTATATTCGTTAGCATAGCTAGCTAACCAGAAGCTAATAACAACAACGTTATTGACTGTATGATCAGTATGACAGATGAACAGATCGCCACTGGGCTTTCAACTAAAGACACAGCCACGCAAAAACTGCTGCATGTGTACAGCTCCTTATGGGTATTGCAATTTGTGAAGTCCCGGTCCGGAGCCGCGTTCTGGTGCTCTCCGTTAGAACTACACTCCTGTCAGACGAGACATATACCACGTGATGACACGTTAGGCTCGTGTTGTGTTCAAGGACCCTGACCTTGGCCAGGAAAAACAAGCTTGTTTAATTATTTTGCGGTCTAGATTTCTTGAATCTTTTTCTTTTTTGCGTGTGTTTATAAATTACCTCGAGGGCCGTACCAAATGGTCTCGAGGGCCGTATACGGCCCGGAGGCCGGAGGTTCCCCACCCCTGTCATAGACCGTCCGAGCGGTGCATTCCAGGCTCAAATCAAGCGCACCGCTGATTTTTTTTTCCTCCTTCAAATATGCTGGTGTTGAAGCCGTGTCAGAAAAGAGGCAGACTGCTAAACCACAAAACTTAGTCAGAGAGGGCATCAAGGCCACTGTGGCCTTATGGCAGATATCATTTTTAAGGGCACAAGGCCAAAGTGGGCCATGGCCCTCGTGGCCCTCGTGAAATTCCTGCCCTGATTGCTACTGTTATTTAAGTCCAAAATCTCACCACTTCTTCCACCACTGACGCTTCATTCAGTATGGGAACTAATTTAATAATAACAAATATATTTAGAAAGATTGTGCATGACCTTGAAAGAGAAGCTTAGTGGTACTCTCAAGGCTGCAGATCTGAAGCGCTGCTGTCTGGGTTATTTGTTGTATTTCACTTTTGGTCCTGTGCTCTGTGCTCTCCCTTCAGTGGTTTGGTAATCTGGTGACCCTGAGGTGGTGGAATGACTTGTGGCTGAATGAAGGGTTTGCATCCTATGTTGAGTACCTGGGAGCTGACAACGCTGAACCCGAATGGAACATAGTAAGGATTTCCCCCTCATGGCCTCAGCAATAAGAGCAGTGTAGGATGATGGTGACATTGATCGAAGGAGTCTGTTTTTTCTTATTCGTCTCATAATAGAAAGACCTCATCGTGCTCAATGACGTCCACAGGGTGTTTGCTGTTGATGCCCTGGCCTCTTCTCACCCTCTGTCCTCTAAAGAAGAGGACATTCAGAGACCAGCCCAGATCAGTGAGCTGTTTGATGCCATCTCATACAGCAAGGTGACCTCACACTGTCAGGCCTTAAGAGAAGCAGAACACTTTGCCATCTCTGATACTAAAATCAATACTCCCAATTGCTTTTCTCCCATAATCAGTTTTCTCACACATATGCCATATCATTTGCTTCAAAGTCGCTCAAAGTCTGGTCTTAATAAAGTTTTAAAAGTGTTTTCACATCCCCAGGGAGCATCTGTTCTGCGGATGTTGTCGGATTTCCTAACTGAAGGAGTCTTTACACAGGGACTCAAGGTAAGAACTTTATAAAGATCTTATAGTCTCCATTTATTTGGCAAAGTTAAGAATGTGGCAATGAAAAACTGAAACGTTGACTGAAATAAATGTATTATGAAAAACACTTACACATTAAAGCTGCAAGCAGCGATAAACAGGCCTTCGCAAGTCAACGCACGTTGAGGTATTTCAAGGATCCCTGCATGCGCAGCACTGAATCGCCATCATCACTAACCAATCCGTATTAACAGTAACCCACATTTTTCTGTGCATGTGCACAAATAAGCTACATCCTGCCACCACTTTCGTTTTGTAGTTAACTAACATCGCCCCCATCCCACAGCAAAACACAACAACCCTATCGGTTAACTAAGATCATCACTGTTAACGCGTGTGCCAAATTTCGTAGGAGTAGCCTACATGCGTCGCTAAACCCCAAATAAGTATGTTGAAGTATTTTAGGGGCCGCTATAGAGCCACCTTGTCACACCAAAACACAACAACCATATAAGTTAACTAAGATCATCGCTGTTAATGTGTTTGCCAAGTTTCGTGCTTGGACATGCATCACTTACCCCAAAATAAGTACTGTTGATGGCGAACAATGCGTAGCCATGCGTTCTATGACACCGCACAAGCCTCAGCGTCTGGAAAGGTGAATGTCTTGATATTAAGCTGGCCAAATATGAAGGTGATCTGATTAACCTGCTGAGAGCTGTAAGCCAAAGTCTAGCAACAGTAACTTCCTGTGGTCACAAGGGGGCGCTATTACTATGATTGAAAATTGGCCTATAGATGTCTTCAGGACGGGGCTTTTATCAAACGTGTGAAGTTTTGAAAGGTTTTGACCATATAGAGGCGAGTTACAACATTTATTTGCTCATGGCGAAGAATCGTAATTTGCTGCTCTGCCACAGCCAAGCCGTTACACCCAGACACACCACTTTCACTTTGGAGCTTCCCCCACCTCTGAAGGCTTATCTGATCACGTTTCAGAGGGATCTGAAGAATCTGGGAGGAGGACTTTTTTTTCCAAAAGTTGTTATTTCCTGGTCCCAGCAGGGGGCGCTATGTAGATGAGTGACTTTGGTCATGCAGCTGTCTTCAGGGCGGGACTCTGATCATCCATGAGTTATATGGTAATTTTAGGAGTATACGGTCGAGATGTTTTCCACCATAACGCCACGGCAAGATCGTTTGATATCGACAAAAAACAAACAATAAATTGTGATTCTCCAAGTCTTCTGATGGTACTGGCCACATTTGGAGTCGATCGGATTAAAACTGTAGGATGAGATTTTGACACGGGCCCTGAAAAGGGCAAAAATGGCAAAAGTTGAAAATTAAAAAAAGATGGCCGACTTCCTGTTGGGTTTACGATATGCCTCCCATTAACTTTTTTTTGCGTCCCATTATGCTACATATGTATAAAACAATTCAGACTTGTCGGTGAAAGCACAACAACACACTGCTTGTTAGGTGGCGCTATAGAGCCATTTTGAGTCCACCAATTATGAAACCCCCAAAATATCAATTTTGTTCACCAATGAAACCCCCAAAATATCAACATTTTTGACAGACCTTACAAGTGTGTGAAAAAATCTCCGTCTTTTGAGCATGCTAAGGCCCTCAAAAAGTCAATTAATTTGGTAGAATAAATAAAAAGAAAATAATCACAAGGATTTCAATAGGTCTTTGCTCCGACTCTGTCAAGCTCAGGCCCTAATGTATTAGGTTAGTTCAGTGGTTCTCAAAGTGGGGGGCGCGCCCCCCCAGGGGGGCGCAGAGGCATGACAGGGGGGGGCGCGAGA